TGTGTGTGTGTGTGTGTGTGTGTGTGTGTCCAGTTTTTGTTCTTATATCCTTAAGAGGACCGTTCTGAGTTTTAGAACTTAACAGGACATTTTGGAAAATGAGGAGTTTTTTTAAGCAGGATATTTTATAAAGCGTGTAAATCAATGTTTTCAGTCCATGAAGTTTCAGACTGCAGTGGTGTATTTAAGTGTGTGTTGTGCTTTGCATGTGTGCATTTTGCACCCTGTGGTTAACAGGCGCTAGCAGCTCTGTGGTCGTCCAGTTTCCAGTGTCTGATAAAAATACTTCAGCTGAATGTAAACCTGCACACATTTCACCACAGGGCTGTGAACAAACAAATAAGTAATATGAATTAATTATAAATGTGCAGATTTACACATCTCTTTATACTCTGATCACATTTCAATGAAGAAACTGTTGTTCTGTTTTACACAAACACTGTTTTAAATCAGTTTATTCAATGTTAATACTTAAATGCTTTTTTTAATTTCCTTGTTGTGTCATATTCAGTCCGTGTTCACGTTTGTGACACCAACACTTTACAATGTTAGTATTTACATCTAAATCTTGGCTGACAGTCGTTTTTCATATTTCATATTTGTATTTTTTAATAATTAATAATGGTGTAGTTTGTAACATCCTGACTTGTTTGTCCTGTGGTCAACGTGTTGACATATCTTTATAAATGTTAGCAGTGGTCCCCTTCATGTGGTTTGGGGTTTCTTTTCAGCTTTCACTTAGGAAAAGTGTTAATAAGGAAAAATTATCAAAACATAAATTGCACATCAGTTTACAGATTGAGCTTTTACACATCTGTCTTTAAGTTATTTCCTGATATTTGCTGCTTTAATTAATCAATTTTTATTACTTCCTTTACTAAAACTATATGAAATCATATTTCAAATTATATTTTATAATTATTGATTGTAGTAGGAGCTCATATAATCTGGATTCTTTTTGTTGTTTGTCTACAGTAGTAGAAGCAGTGCTTATATTAACTGTTCTGGTATCAGTTGCAGAACCTGCACTAATGTAATCTGTATTTTATTTACCAGAGAGCGATCCAGCTGCCGTCTACTCAGCAGTGAGAAGAGCAGACGACATCAGCTACGGACAAATAGTCTTCAAAGACATCAGATCAAACAGGAAGAGAGGTACCGCTGTTTGTCTTTGTCTCCGTGGCTGAATCCAAATGTCCGCACTTCACCACACTTGCAGACTCGCAGACTTTGCGGACGCATTCCCGGGAAGTCTGGGAGTGCTGAGGACTCCAAAGTCACAACTCATCCAGACCACAAGGGGCCTCAAGTGGACTTTCTGCAGACTTACAGAGAGTCCGAATGGGGTGCAGACTTCAGCAGGTGTCCCTGATTTAATAACCCACAATTCATTGCAATACGGACGAGACGTTGTGGGTTTTTCAACAACCAAAAAAGGCTATACATGTGATTTATATCTCGTTATCAGCAGGGACAGATGAGTTCAGCACTCTTCATCAACTTATATGACATATATATGAATAAGTCAGCAGAGATAGTTGGACGTTTCCACTGCAACAAGTAAAATAGTCACATGCAGTCTCTGCCCTCGCAGACTCCACGTGATGACAGTAAATAAGTCACTCTACGTACAGGTGAAGTCTGCGAGGGCTCAGTCTGCAGGTCCAGAGGGTGGACATTTAGATTCAACCCATCGTGAACCAACTGTAGTCTGTGAGAGAAGAAGACAGAAGAGTTCAGCTGGTCACTGTAGCTTTAGTCAAAAAACGAGAGAATAATGCATGTGTGGGACTATTTTCAGTGGTGGACTGATACACATCTGGTACTCTAGTGGCAGTGACGTGTATCTGGGATTGGGTCAAAATAAACTACAGTGACTTTACATGCACAAAATATTCTGGTTTTCACCTTTATTCCAAAAAAGACCATATTCCTACTGAGCGGTTAACATGACTCATGAACATGAATATTCCACTAATACTCCCATGGCGGGAAATCATGGTTCAAAGTATTCAAATGACTATCAGAAAGATTAATGATCATTAAAAATACTTATTAATTAATAATCAAAATAACTATAACCAAAATGACACACCAATAGTAAAGTTCTTGACACAGTAGAGGTTAACATTTATTCAAAAGAAAGAAAGCTAAATAACACACAGTATATCCTAACAAGTTACTATATTCAAGTGTGAGTGTATAAATGTGTGTGAAAAGGAGAGACAAAAACACGAGTGTGAACACACACAAAACAAAATGGCCGCCAACAGAGATAACTGCATAGAAGCTAAGCCGCAGACCAAAGTTTCCTACGCCTCAAACTGGCATCTAATATTGTTTTTTTCACTGTGCATGTTAAACCACAGCAGCTACTTCCTCCTGTTGATTCCAGTGAGCTGTGGCGTGAGGCTGGTCAGGTTTCTCACGATAGTCTCGTCTGCTTTACCTGACAGTGACGCCTTTTGCACCCTGTGGTTCAATGTGCCAACGTTTTTTTTAATCGCAGCGAGCAGCTTTGTGGTGGTCCAGTTTCCTGTTTCTCAGTTATATTTGGTCTTTCACAGCAGCGCCCACAACCTGCAGACATTTTAGAGTCCATCACAAATCTGATTATAATTCAACATGAACAATAATCACACAGCAGTAGTGTTAATCGTCTTTATATTGCTATCAGTAGCTGGTGCTAACGCTAGCAGTCCTAAGCTAACAGTAACAGTATCAGGTGCACTACCTGCAGTAATGTACGTTAATATAAGTTACATGTATTTTATTTCCCAGAGAGCGATCCAGCTGCCGTCTACTCAGCAGTGAGAAGAGCAGACGACGTCAGTTACGGACAAATAGTCTTCAAAGACATCAGATCAAACAGGAAGAGAGGTACAGCTGTTTGTCTTTGTCTCCATGGCTGAATCCAAATGTCTGCACTTCACCACACTTGCAGACTCGCAGACTTTGTGGGCACATTCCCGGGACGTCTG